ATACAGTATCAATGCCCCTGGAGGCTCTGGCCTAAGTGCTTGCTCCTGGCCTAGCTACTGAGATGTCAAATATCAACTTGATGTTATCAGTCTAGTTAGGGAAAACAGATATATGAAAATACAATTTTTTTATGGGATTTATTTATTTATTTAATGGGATTTAAAACGCAACAATGAGATATGTTCAAAATACTCTGGTAGTGCAAAAGAGGAATTTACAAACTTAAAAGAGTCACAGAAGACTCAGACCAGCAGCTTTGTCTGCTTACAAACAAATATCAACTGAGGGCAAGTCTTCACAGTTAGAATAGTGTGGCTTAATTATAATAATGAGCTTCTGTTTATTGAACTCTTACCACGTACTAGGCTCCAGGCCAAGTAGTTAATGTGCCCGGCTTTTTATATAATTTACACAGCAATCTCATATAATAGGTATTTTTATCATCCCCATTTTTCTGATAAGGAATCTCAAGTCTTGAGAGGCAAAAAGACAGTGAGTGGAGGCCACTCTTCTAAAAGGTGTGCTGGGTGCTGGGTCTATCAGGTGATGGCACAAAGCAGGGGCCTCTTTTCACAAGTCATAGTATGAATGGTCCCTGGTCTCTGAATGGGGCTTTGCATTGAATATATTTTGACCAGGTTCAGGGTTGTGGATTACTAAAGGATTTTCTTTTTCTTTTTCTTCTTCTTCTCCTTCTCCTTTTCTCCTTTTCTCTTCTTTCACCTTCTCCTTTTCTCCTTCTCCTTCTCCTTCTTCTTCTCTTTAGGAGACTAAGAAAGATACAGGAGAAATAAGATCTAGTCCTGAGGAGAGCATCTTAGTGGAATGGCTTAAGTATAACTTAATTGCTACACATGTTTGTGGATTCAAATCCTGCCTCTATCAATAAGCTTGTGTGACCTTCGGAAAATTATTAAACCTTTCAACCCTTATTTCTTTTCAGGAACAATAAATGAATTATTCTTTGTTAAGGCTCAATAGTAAGCGCTAAATAAATGTTAAAAGTCTTACTATTGACCTCAGAGAGTGGGGGTAGGATGGGTTGGGGGCGAGGGTCACGAATCCTTAGAAATATTATGTAAAATTGTGTCTGGAAACATCGAACTATACCGAAGATGAGAGCTTATATCTACACACAAGGGTGCAAAAATATCATATTATTTAATAAACTTTAAATCAAATTAAACTTGACCTCAAGCGCCTGTTCTGCCTTGGACAGCAGGAGATCCAAGTGTGGTCATTACGGACACTTTGCCAGCCCCATCTTTGGGCACTGTACAAATAATCCTGAACTTTTCAGGAGGCCTCCTGTGAATGGATTGGCAGGTTGTGCTCTCGACAACCTCCGGGCAGCATTCACATCTCAAGAGGCTTGACCACATTCTTGGAACAGGAGGGAGGGAAAAATAGAGCATGAAACAACCCACCAATTAACATTTCAATAAATTATCCAGCCACATGCATTTTTTTTTTTTGAGGGGGAGAGTCCATACCTTTCATTAGATTCTCAAAGCAGAGAGGGAGTCTGATTTGATCCAGCAAAAGAGATGGGTGTCAAACCTCTGTGCTCCACAAAGCAGGAAAACATCACATTTGCATTGATTATAGACCCTTTTCATAGTGCTGACACATCTATGAGCTTTGAGTGGCCTCATTATTTTTTTATTAAATTGGGTCAGGGTGGGGCCCCCCATTCAACCTAAATGCAGATGGGGTCATTGTGACTGAACAGCAAATACACAATAGGTAATAAATTCTGGGAAATGAAATCTGTCATCGGACCACTCTTTCACACAACAAAAAACGAGATGGGGTATAACAGTGGGACTTGAGGCAAAAAAAGTCTCAAAGATAAAGAGGCAGAATTGCATTCACTGAGTTATAAAGCATTTGAGGGGCCTCTTCTTTGGATAGAACAGGAAAGGGCCAGTATTGATTCAGAAAAAGTATATAAAACTACTGAAGAGAAAACTATGTATGTAATGGAGGCAGCCTGCATAATACACAATGGTTTTGAAAACAAATGTGGACACCTGAATGGTAGCATCATTATCAGCCTCATCTTCAAATAGAGGGAGAGGGAAAGTGCTTTCAGGAGAGCAATAGGAAAAACACTGAGGTTAATGAAGAAAGCCTGCAGTAAGTCATATCTGTCATGTTAAGTGCTCATTACAGTAATTATTTTTACCGGGATTTAATTTTTATAAAATTCAGTTGATTAGACCTAGATCTGTGATTAATCCTTTGAGTATGGCTAAACTCAAGTGGGTACTAACAAACAATAATCGAATTGTCCGAGTCACATTTTTAGAATTGTTCTTGCACGGCATTGCATTCGCTTTCTACATCCCACTGCCTTTGGATGAATCTGGACATCCTTGTTTCATGACAGTTCAATTTAGTCTTTTGTCACTTTGATTCCAGTGTTCTTTAATAATTAAAAAAAAAAAGCGATGCTCTCAGGGTTTTTGACATATAATACCATTATGCTTTCCATTTCTTTATCATCAGAAAAAAAATAACCCATCCAGAGAGGTAGCTGCAGATTTTTCACTAGTGTGTGGGCAGCATGGTGCAATGCAATGGACATGAAATTTGAGTTGGGCAGATTAAAGTCATGACCTGTCTCTTCATCTGTTAAGTGGGAATATGGTACCTACATTATAGTGCCATAGATAATCTAAGCAAAATGTCTGGCTCAGTGTCAGGAAATGATTGATACTGCATAAATAGTGGTTTTCTTCCTTCAAAGTAAAAGTTCTAAATGACTGATAATCTTGTGAGTTCTGGAACAATGAAATGTTTGACCTGGAAAGGCTGTCAGTACAAACTCATTTTACAGATGAGGAAACTGTAAAGTGAAAAAGGAAACAAGTGAAAAAATTTGCTCGAGGTGAAATAGCTAGTTTTCTTATCAAATAAGTATTTGTTGGATGAAGAAATAACATTACATCATCACCAGACACCGATTTCCTATAGGTTGAGTAGTTATCTATCTCTTAGAAGCATGGTTTATGACACGTGACAATGTGAAATGTAAAATGTGAAAAAGGAGAAAAGTTGTATGACTTCCTCCTCCTAACCTGATTTTTCATTGAAAAATATGTATTAATTGCACTTCATGCTTGACCAATTTAACTTTTTTATTGAGTTAAGAATGGCATTGATTTATTGTTCTAAGCAATTATCTGCTTATGCCTTTATAATTATTCTATATTACATATGAAAGAAAGAAAAGGACCAAGTCACACTTGGCAATTATGAGAAACAGTAAGGCATTTAATTGCCATTCCCATCTCCATTCAAAAGAAAATAGAATATTTGGAAATAAATTCAACAGGATACAATATGGTTCATTTGGCTCATTTCTGATGTTCAGAATTTAGTAAATTTTATTGTCCACTATATCAGTCTTACCAGATTTATATACAAAACATACAAAAATGGTGGATTTCCATATAAAAGAAGAAGGCATTATGATGTATGAATTTTAAAATAGTGGTTTCCTAGAAATTGCACTGTGGCAGTCCTGCCTTCCTGGGGTTATTCAGCAGCACTTCAGCTTATATAATTACCACACCAGCTTCCCTTATGGAGCCCATGAGGCACCCAGGTTTGTCACCATGACAACAGATTCTGAATCAAAGTAGCCCCATCCTAATACTGTGCACAGAGGCTCTTCTTAGAAAAAAGTTGTTTTTTTAAAAAAATTTTAATCTTGACCATATTTCCCCCAAATTACAGGTATACAATTTCTAACTATTTGTTCTAGTTCCCTTATAAGTGTAATCTGACTACTGAAAGCCTGGGCACACACAATTTCTTGAATAGCAAAAGAAATATAATGCAAACATTTAAATAGAGATTGCTTGTTCATTCTGGGCACCATTTTGAAAAGAAGAAGAAGAAAATCACATTTCAGAATAAAAAACACCTGAAGAAATAGCTATGGGAGGAAATCAACTCTCTTTGATCTTTATGCTGCAAGAAGAGAGCTCTTTTACGCTTTTTAAAAGACTCTTACAATGCACAGATCTAAGCAAATAAAATACAATTTCCCATTAAATTTTTTTTTAAATGAACAAACGTGTTGCCAGGGCCACATTTATAAACCTTGTGCAATAAAATTCTCTTTTTGTCTATAAAGCAGAGAGGACACCATTTGCTCAAGACTCCTTATCTTCCTATTGTGCCCCCTGGCACTGCTGGGAGGCCAGAAAGCCCTGGGGCCGCTGCGTGGTGGCCCCTTTCTCATTTCCTGTTTGCTGTTTGGACATGTCTTGCAGCTGTGGTGGCTGCATGTTGGAAGGAAGGCTGATAATGCTTGCTGTTACATAATAAGACTTATCAAAACATTGCCCATCCATGAACTCATCTGAAACTAAGGCTAGGCTTTTCTTTTTTCTTTCCATTAGGAAAGATATTTCCATGTTTTATTTGAAATTCTTTCTAATCTCTCACTGCCCAAGAGAAAGAAAAGTCATACAAGAACTCATGGCATAGTATCCTGTTTGCAAAGTAAGCTCAACTTCTTGTTTTCTTCTAGATCCTTAAAGTCAACTCCTATGTTATGTCCCATTTCCATTTCTAACTTTCTTAGGTACCAGAGTGATTTCATTCTTGATGCCCTCTTCAGAACATCTCCCTTTTTCTTTACCCTCTGGCTCGGCCCCATGTTCTTTTCCTATCTCTTTTCTGTGGACTCCCTCATCTGCCAAACAATGTGGATTCCAGTTCGTGCCTTTCTAACTAAGGAAATGAGAGGAAGGTCAGGAGTAGTTGGGTCAATGACCTTTGACACCACTGAGCAGCCCCCCTCCATTTTTTTCAGGCTCCAGTATATATAAAATGAAGAAATGTCAAAGTTGTGTTGTACTGTACTTACAATGTTTCTTGACATTTTAAGTGCATCTAACCACATCTGGAAATAGGAACAACTGTCTAAATGTTGTCTCTTGATGAATTTGGAGTCCTGGCCCCATGCCCTCTTGTTTAATAGGTAAAGAATCCAACGTGCACTTCCCGAGTCCAGAGGATGGAGGTGGTAGCCACAGAGGAGTTGCTGCAGTGGACGCAAAGGTGGCAGGTTAACGACAGCTGGAATCTCTGGAATTTACCGTATGCCAAGGACAAATCTAATTTTATGCATGCTAACATATTATGTTTTCTCAGGTAGGTACTATTGTTATCCACATCTTTATACATAAAGAAACTAAGGCACAGACAGATTAGGTGACTCCCCCAGGGATGCCCAACTAGCAGTGGTGTCCAGTCTGTGGTCTTAAGCACTGTGTGTCATTCGATCTCTTACTGGATGCTGAGCACAAAACACAAGGACCGGAACCGGAGGGGGAGTGCCCTCAGGCTCACAGCGAAGAGTGGTGTGTGTATGTGTGTGCATGTGTTTAGGGGAGACTTACACTACCAGTAGTAAAGGTGGGCAGAGCCACAGCAACCCGGGCCATTTTGATTCTCCTCCCACCCAGTGGTTGTGCCCAGGGCTGTGGGAATTGGGCACACGAGGCTGATATCTGTGCTCATATTGTCTCCGTGTAGGCCATACGATGCATCCAAATCACAATGGAAAGTGTCATTTTTCAGTGCTGCGTGGAATCAGATCCAGCTTCAGGGGCATGTGACTTGGGTAGTCGCTCAGGACCCTGTGGTCTGAATGACCCAGCACTTGGGTTAATGCTCTATTGTCACCATCTTGAAAGTCTTATTACTTTTTGAACAAAAGCTCCTGCGTTTGTTTTGCAGTCTGCCCTGCAAATTACGTAGCTGGTCTTTACGTGAAAATCCTGAGCAATCTGGGGAAGTTTGCAGCCCCAGTCTACAGGGGAGAGAAGATTCTATTTCCCTGTGATTCCTCTGGAACTGCAGTGCTATAAATCTGCAGTTGCCTGTTAGTGGATTTACATTTCACTGCAATGTAATATTTTTCCTCACAGGGGAAAGCAGTCAGCTCTCACTAATAGGGGCTCTAATGATGCTCTGCCAAGGTCCACGTGCATAGCCTGGAGCAAAGAGGCCCAGGACAGGTCCCCAATTCAACAGCAGGGGTTAACTACAACGGAGCCTCTTTGCAGAATGATAAAACACTGTTAATCTCAGCTAGATTCCTGGCTGGCCCCAAGGAGTGCCCCTGCAGAGCAACAGAGGTATAGAGATAAAATTCCAGCTCGGGTCCTCCTGGAAATTTGTATTTGCCATCCCACGATGTTTGCATAATTTCAGCAGGCTATAGTCAAGTCGAGACTCGCCAAAACTTGTAGAGAGAAATCAAACTGCCTCAGCACAAGGAAGCCAATCTGATAAGTCCTCTATCCGGTGTCTCAATGTTTGAGCAGTTTGGCACTAGAATAAACGATGGCTCACCAATGGTGAGTTTCCATGGAATCGGTTGCTCCGAGGCCTTTTCTGAAGCGAAGGGTAGTGAGCTGATTTTCTCCACCAGGACAGTAATGATACCAGTGAGCAGAAACTATAAGGGAGAAACAGCCCACTTCTCAAAGAAGACAAAAAGGGAATTTTGTGCATCTATGGTTCAGAGGAGCCCAAGCCCTCATATTCAAGATCTGTGGGGCCACGCTGAATTAATAATGACGGTCAACATCTTCCAGCGTTTACTATGCCCCAGACACCCTTGTAAGGGTTTTGCATATGTCAACCCAGTTAATCCTCACAACCAGCCAATGAGATAGGTATTATTATCATCTCTATTTTAGAGGTGAAGGACCCGAGGCACAGAGAGGAGAGCAGCTGCATGGCCGGCCACAGGAGCTACAGGTTCACCCCGGACAATGACAGGCAGTGAGGAGTTCCCGGTGGGGCCCGGCTGTGTGTGCAGCTGCTGAGTCTGCGTCCCGTTTGTCCTCACAATAAACCCCCATTAACGAGGGAGGCACAATTGGTCTCCCTTGCTCTTGCAACCTGAAAGAGCCTATAGAATACAGATCCCATTGTGAATGCTTTTGTAATTTGGAGATTCTTTTTTATATATATATATATAAACGGAATAATCAGCCCCTTAATGTATCCATAGGGAATTCAGGAAAGGGAAGAAGCGGCTCCTGTTTTTGAGGCATTTGCAATCATTGTTGGAGACAGAGCCAACAGATGGGGAACAATAGTGAGGGACTCTAGGGCTGGTGTAAGCAAATGCTGGGCTGTGGTCTTTGCCCATGAATGGTGTGGGACATCAGAGAGGGAAGGGTATTTACTCACTGGCTATGGAGTTACCAGGGTGGGAGGATGGAAAGAAGAAACTGGGAAGCTTTGGGCACATTGGTTAATCTTTAGACTTCGCCTTCCTCAACTCTGAAATAAAGCCATAAATTATCCCAAAGACTCCTTCCAGCTTTAACATTCAATGAATCCTGACCTTTTCTGTAAAGCTGGATTTTTATGTGTGGTATTTGCTAAGAGTCAAGACACACCCATGATTGCTATGGCCCAGACCGAATATTACATAGTCAGGTTGATATACCTTCCTGACCTCACGTTAGCTCCCAAGAGACTAAATGTCCTGAACTTTAGCCTTAGCTTTTCCTGACTGTTCACTTTAATGATTTCCCCAGCCATTTTTATATATTTTTTCTTGGCTGTTTGCACTTTTTTTTCTGCCAAAATGTAAAAGCAGGGTATATATAGATGGTAGTACTTGATCATAACTTGCATGTCTTAAATTTTAAAGAAATAACATTTACCAAATGGGATATGCTCAATTTCATTTAAATGTTTTTCTTGTGTCTTTATTGTTTTTGTATTTTTTAAAAAATTCTAAGTTATTCTAGGCCCAATTACTGGTTATGATTGTTTAACACACAGTTGCAAATTGATAAGGATTTTTATTTTTTTAAGATTTTATTTATTTATTCATGAGAGACACACAGAGAGAGGCAGAAACTTAGGCAGAGGGAGAAGCAGGATCCTTGAGGTGAGCCCAATGCGGAACTTGATCCCGGGACCCTGGGATCACAACTTGAGCCGAAGGCAGAGGCTCAACCACTGGGCCCCCCAGGCATCCTTCAATAAAAATTTTTAAACGAATTTTTAAAATTTGTTTCTAAATCATTATGCCTGCCATGTTTTCAATAGTAAAATGCTTTTTTTTTCAAAGAGAAATGTGGTTAAAAGAAAAAATGATCTGATGTTCCTGCTCATTGAACTATACAAACAACAATCAAGGAAAAGAGACTTAAGAAGTATTTATGCAGTATGACCCTAACCTGGCAAATATCTATAGAGCCCATAAACCAGCCATTTCTTAAGTGTGTTCCCCCAGCCAGCAGCACTGGCATTGAACAAACTCTCAGATCTCACCCAGCTTAACTTTGAGAGGGGGGCAGCTGTCTGTGACATAACAAGCCTTCCAGATGATTCCAAAATATCTTAAAGTTTGAGAACCATTATCATAATCCAGGTGCAAAGAAATAGATCGTAAATTATATTTAATGGCTATCTTTCCTTAATAGTCCCTCCCCATACCCAGCTGGAAACGGAATTTGGAAGTAAAATCACAACCTGGGGTATTGGCCTCAGTGATTCCCACTACAGGTTGACTTTCACATCGACTGTTCTATTTGCATTCAAGTCCTTCTATATTTATAGACCCAAGTCATGTTTCCAGTGTTACCTTCTCCTGTTCATATTTTACTTATTGCAGTAAAATTGGATTACCATTCTCACCCCCCATACCCTCACTCTTTGCATGAGGGACAACTGACCTAAGTTAAGACAGGAAGGGCCTTTGGTAAATGGAGATACAGGGGAGAGTATGTTCCCGGATGGTGCCATGGCGTAATCAAATGTATCAGAGTCATCCGAGCTTCTGGGTGTCTATTGAAATCTTATGCCAGATACCATTTCCTTTCTGAAATCTTTCTCAATCCTTCAACTGGAAGGTGCAATCTCTCCCTGTATAATATTCCAGCCCCTCCCCTCCTGTGTTGGGTATTTCTTTCACAGTACATCCTTTTCTGCCTTCTTGTGTAGCCAGTATTGTCTGATTTGTTTGACTGGACCAGAAGTTCTTGAGATGGGGCCTGCTCCCTACTCATCTTTCTGCCACGCCTAATACAGTGTCAGACACAATGAGAACTCCATCAATTGTTGTTGCACTGTGGAATGCAGTGACAGGGTTGCCAGGCAGGCCCAGAGAGTCATCGGATAGCTTTCTGCCAGGGCTATTAGCTGTTCTGAGTTAGGTGTGCATTGCACGCTTGTCCCAAAATATTCCCTTGCAGGTAACTGACATTCATCCTCTTTTAAGATTTATAGAAAGCTTACATCCTACGTTTAAAATACAAAATCCACCTAGGAGGGATCAAGAAATAGAAGGAAGATCTCGAGGACAAGCCTCGCTCTTTTACCCCCTGGAGCTATCAAGGGGCAGCGTGCAGACACTAGAAAGGACCGGGGCTGGGAAACAGGAACAAATCTTTGATTTCACAGTCTTGCCCGCGGCCTTGACTGACAGTAGCCGCTGCTTTAGCTTCCATCTGTGGCTTCACGCCTTTTTAGAAGAGACTCAGGAAATCTCACTCTGGTCTTACAGGGAATATTTTCAGCCTAAGAGGAAAATTGTGAGCATGAGAAGCAAGCTCGTGTTGCTTTCCCACACCCAAAGACAGAGACTCATAAAACAATAATGGTCTGGAAAGAATCCGAAGACACACGGTACAAAACGCATTTGGTTTATTATTTTAAGTGCTCTTAATACCACTTGCAGTGCAAACAAACAAGAAACGGGCAACCCCCGCACCCTCCTTCCCGCCTCCAAACTCTGTATTTCTGTATTTGTTAGCCACTCATGTCTTGAAATTCATCTACAACATCATAAACCCGTGGCAAATTCTGAACAGAGAAATTCATTGTTAGGAAAATATGATAAGGAAAGATACGGTTTCTGTGGATAAAACCCCCCAAATTTTAATCTATATTTGCAATTTCATCTAGATCACGTTTTATCTGCATTGGCTCAGATCCCCCCCCTTCCCCCCCCCCCCCAGCTGGTCTAGCGGACTCATTTGCCGAGGAACACTGCCATCATGCGGCCGGACGTGTTATAGCAGCTCACGAAGGCCGGCCAGCAGCATGGTTTTAATTTGGATGCTCTCCCCAGAGAAATGTTTGCGGCTTTAAAATGTGCTTTGTTGTTTGAAGCCAGATTTGTTGATTCATTTCTAAAGTAGCACCGTTAAGATGTTTGCCAAAGGGTGAACTCGGTGTCAGTTTTTGAATCCCCCAAGTGTATAGCGATCACATTAAAAATATCACATATAGGAAAGAATGAGGGCTTCCTGCTTATTTTATGAATTAGTAAAGTTTTCATAAATGTGTTTACTTGAAAGACAGCAGAATACCTTTATCAGGGAAACTAGCGTGGCTGCCTGGTTTTTCTTCACAATGGTAAGTCTGCTTAGGGAGAGGGAGCTGTAGGGAACTGTAGGGTGGCAGCATCCTGGGGTTCAGAAACTAGGCTGGAGCTTCCAGTTTGCCACTAATTAACTATGTAATCCCGAGCAAGTCCCATAAGCTGTCTGGCTTCACGACTTTCTTAAAAAAGGGGTAGGTCTGATACCCTTAAGTCCATATTGCTTTTCCCATTTATGATTCTGTGATTGTAACCTGACAATAAGCCCATCCTTTTAAAAGCAAGAATGTTGTTTTTCTTTCCCTGTGATTTTCCTGTAAATATGCTCTTCCTTCCTCACCACCACCCCCCTCCTCCAGCCCGAACTGAAGCTTTGTCTGCATGAGTCATCACGCAAAATTCTCTCTCTGCAAGAGCCCAGAGATTATGTGTTGTGCTCAGCAGCCCTCCAGCGCAAACGGCCTTCCTGCGCGCTGTGGGCATTCACAGGTTAGGTTATCTCCACAGATGGAAAATAAAGTTGATGAATCTTTAAAACCGGGAAACAGCTTACCGGCTTCTGAGTGCTGTAGGTCTTAAAAAACGTTCCAGAATGTTAGGAAAGACAATTCAGAACAGTCTGATGTCTTTAACACCTGCAAGGGAAGGGCAATTTTCCTCCCTGACTATACCTCCTGCTTTACAAATTTGTCAAAAGTAAAAAGAGGATGCAGGTACTGCTTGGAGCACAATCGTGAGGTTAATGTTCTGCTGAGACAAAATGATGGTAAATTATTCCCCGGAGTTGATTTTGTGACGTGTGTGTAACGGGGTGAGGGATAGAAATACAAGCGGGTGTTGATGTTTAAACTGTGCCGGAAGGACAAGTAAATGCAGGGCAGTTGCTAGGAGACCTGGAGCCCAGAGCGAATGCCCCTGCTGTGTGCACAGGATGTTTTATCTCAAGAAACCTTGTCTTTCACAGTCAACGATGACATTAAATGTATAGTCTGTCAAAATTCAGGTGGACCAGTGCCTGGTTATTACTCGTGTCCATCCAGCCATCCTACCATCTGCCACCCATTCAGGGAGCAAAGGAAAGAGAGCAATGTAACGTCGTGCCAGTGACCAAGAGGCTCCAGGAGAGCTCAGCGATTCGCTACAAATTCAGCTTAAATACTCTTACACGAAAGACAGCTGGTTTGACCGCTGATACTCGTGTTAAGAAGTGTGAAGTAGTGGCACAAGAATTGCTCCAGCATTCCAAGGTGAGGGGTGCCAGGTCACAAATAGAGTTCTCAGCGAAGATGTGCTGGAGCAGGACTTAGGACCCTGTTGTTTACAGAGCAATCCTTTCAGCCAGTTGTGGGATTTCTTAAAAATAAATCTTAGGCTAAACGCACACTTCGGGTTTGCAATTACCACCCGGAGCTCAGTGGTGCAGGACTTTAGAACTGGCCGGGCTTTGGGAGTTCTTCTGGCGCCCCCTACTGGTCGAAGGCGGAACCTGAGCCTGTCCGTGGCCCAGGTTCACGGCAAAAATTTTCTTCTTCTTCTTCTTCTTCTTCTTCTTCTTCTTCTTCTTCTTCTTCTTCTTCTTCTTCTTCTTCTTCTTCTTCTTCTTCTTCTTTCTTCTTCTTCTTTTCTTCTTCTTCTTCTTTTCTTCTTCTTCTTCTTTTCTTCTTCTTCTTCTTCTTCTTCTTCTTCCTCTTCTTCTTTTCTTCTTCTTCTTCTTCTTCTTCTTCTTCTTCTTCCTCTTCCTCTTCCTCTTCTATTCTTCTTCTTCTTCTTCTTCTTCTTCCTCTTCCTCTTCCTCTTCTTCTTCTTTTCTTCTTCTTTTCTTCTTCTTCTTCTTCTTTTTCTTCTTTTCTTCTTCCTCTTCTTCTTTCTCCTTCTCTTCTTCCTCTTCTTCTTTCTTCTTCTCTTTCTTCTTCTCCTTCTGCATATTTTTTAAATTAGAGTTCGACTTGCCAACATATGGCATAACACCCAGTGCGCATCCCGTCAAGTGCCCCTCACCCAATCACCCCATCCCCCCCGCCCACCTCCCCTTGGAAAACACTGTCAAACTTCGCCTATAGAAGAGACAGTCTATTCAATGCGAGAAAAAAACAAAAACAAAAACAAAAATGAAAGGCTGAGAAGTGGGTCTAGTAGGTCTTATTTTACTTAGAAGAAACTGAGTCACTATGAGATATCGTGAATTATTCAAACACACAGCTGATTATCACCAGAGTTGGGGACTATCCAGGTTTCCTGTTCCTATTCTATGCTCTTTTACAGTAACAACATAGTCTTTCTCAGCAGGATTGGAATGTTCTGTTATTCTAGTGATATGAAAGGCAGCAAAAGTAGTCCTGTAACTTTACAATGTGCAAAGCATGTACATTGTTTCACTTAATTCTTACAACCTTGGGAAATTATTCTCATGAAATAGTATGCTTAACACAGAGAATTGATCTGCATTGTTATAAAAGTATACTTCTAATTTGATCTCTGTTATGATCTTATTGCCACGCTATAGGATCAAGGGCGACAAAGTGGCCTTGGAAGATAGAGAATTGGAATCCTAATAAGGTTTGGAACTTTTTCCATTTGCTCCACTTCAGTATCGAATACCCACCCACAGATGAAATAAAATGTGCACTTTACGGGTTGTCTATGGAGAATATGAAATTATCAGTTATAAGCCATTTCTGAGAGCCTACTAGGTATCAGGCCAGACATAGAGCAAATATGAAGATGCTGTTCTAGGCTAAACTTGGAGAGAATTTGATTGCACTTGGGTCCCAGAAATAGAAGAAATGAAATCAATGAGTATCCATCACTTACCCTTGTTAGCTTTCTTGAGCTTTAAAAATACCTAAAATCAGTGCAAGCACCTAAATAAAGCTGGTCCCTTAGAGCTACCTTCTTTTCCTTATCCCAGGATCTTCACATCTCCTGTGGCCTAGAAAGCTCTTTCTCTAGATAGCAGCATGACTCGGACTCACATTCCCTTCAAGTTTTTGCTCAGGGAAAATGAGGATTTCTCCGATCATATATTTGAAACTGCAATGCTTTCTAGGGCCATAATGCCTTTCCAGGACCAGCCTGAGAGTAGAGGATGTTTTTCCTTATTTATTGGCCCAGAGGAACACACCTTCTTCTAATTTGTACAAGAGTGACTTGTGGGTAGGCTATGTCCCTAGACCTTCCTAAGTTTATGTTTCTCAGTGGCATGTATTACCACCTGCCACTATCTGTTTTTTAAATTGTCTGATTTCCTACAGCACCTCTACTAGTAAACAAGCTCCATAAAGTAGGGATTTTTCTCCATGTTTCTACAATGTGGAGGAAAAGCACTAGTTGTAGCTAAGATGGACCACAGTGATTCTCACTTCCTGGTATTCATGCATCTCTTTTATCCCCAACTCACACGGACTCGGGGCTGCTCAGTATGACCATTGGAACATGGTGGAAATGGTGGTGTTTCTCTTTCTAGATTAGGAATTAAAAGGCATTGCACCTCCCGACTTGCTCTCTTGGATTTTCATTCCACAGAATGCCAGCTGCTGTATCATGAGGACATTCAAGTAGCACCATGGAGTACATGGACAGGAACCAAACTGTTGGCACCAACATGTTAGCCAAATGACCAAGCCATTTTAAAAGGGGATCTTCCAACTCCTAGCCTTTGAGTCTTTAAGCTAAAGCCTCAAATATCATGTAGCAGAGACAAGCCTTTCCCACTGAGTCCTGTCTGCATTCCTGACCCACAGAAACCATGAGAGATACTATTATTAGTGCTTTACGGCAATACATTTTGGGGTTATTTGTTATGTAGCAAGAGATAGCTAAAAAGTGTCTGGCCCACAATAAGTTCCCAATAAATCCTCATTGAATTAAAGGATAAACGTAAGCAGATTGTTTTCCCAGGGTACTCAGTGATCATAATATCATGTCTGTTATTAACCTAAATGAAACTGTTGAAAAAGCCTTAGCTCTATATCCTCTTTGGTTTTGGAGTCTCAGGATGGGGGCTCGAGTCTTGGATCTGTGACTTATTTGCCATTTGACCTTGAATAATTCACTTCCAGTCTTTGGTTCTTGGTTTTCCTAATCTGTAACCTAGATATAACAATAACAGTTATAATTATGCTCTAACATAAACCACCAACTTGGAAGAGTCTTGTCGACCATGCAGACCCCTGGATCAGGGCTCTCCTAAAACCCATGCCACAGCTAGAATTGCCCATTATGTGAACAAATAAACCTTCTTTATTACCATTTAAGTCAGTTCCATTTGTTGGTGTCTCCTACACCCCAAAAAAAGCTCTTTATATAAAGCATTCACACTAACAGAAGTGAAACAATAGCCAACAAAACAAGATAACATGTAATGAGTAAGATGATGCATGGTAGTCTCAAGGATAACAATTAAGAATAAAGTGATATCACATCACCCTATCAACCATTTCTGTGAGTTGATGGCAAGGACATCCTAATTCACTTGCCTGGGAAAGTCAGGGATGCCCAATGGGGATCTGTTTTCATATAAATTTCAGTTTCTGTAAGTATATTTTAGAATTCCTGTCCTCAAATTTCTTCTCTGTGACTGCATTTGACAGGTAATGCTCAGTAGCATCAAATTCATGTTTAAATGCCATAAAGGAACAAGAAACCATTCGTGTTTCAGAAAGGATCTCCAAGTGGCCATATTGTGTTGTACACAGGCATCAAGAAAACAAGTAGCCAGGCTTCTGTGATCACTGCCTCCCCTGTAGGTCCCCAAAGAGTATGAGAGGGTCTTATGGGCCACTTGCCACAATATCATTGCCTTGTCACAGAGTTCTTCATTTTGTTCCAAGGGCAGAGGACACTGTCCTGGGCATGTCATGAAATACTAATAAAAAACTCATCTTCCAGGTTGAAGAGTGTTCATTTTTAAGAGCAGAGGAGACAGGGATTTCTGACAGGCCTGGATGGACAGCATGAAACATGACCACTGTGCAATTTGGCCTCCTGAGATTTAGAGAGATGGTGGCTTGAAGTGGTGCTGTGGATAATATAGGCAGGTCTCAAATCTGTTTTATTAGCACTGGTCTCCTTCTTCATATATGTTAGAATGACTTTGATGGGCAATTTAATTAAACTGCTATTTGTTTTGTAAGTGCAAGTGATTATCTCTTGGTTTTATTCTCTGCTGCTCAAGTAAATTGGCCAATGATTGACTTTTTTTTTTTTTTAACATCACAATACAGGTGATGTTAAAACTTTCTCAGTTTTATACATTTCTTCATGGAAATTTGCTCTGTCTTCTCAAATTATTCTACCAAGTTTAGATTTATTTATTTTTATGGCCAAGAGATGATACTGAAATAGCTCCTGTGGAAAAAAAATAAAGTTCATTCTTTAGGTTAACATTGTAAATTTGTTCCCAAATATTAAATCAATGCTTTTTATTTATTTTAAAATGTTCCTTGTAGCTTTTAAGGCCAAGTCTTGAAGTCTGTCAACCCAAGGAAAGAAAGTATGGAATAGCCTAGGACAAATTGGCCATCGATCAAATTTAAATCCCAGTGCTGACTTTTAGAAAGACAATAGTCGTAAAAACCAGGCATTAAGAAAAATAAGGATTTTTCTAGATCACTTTATCTCCTCCTTTTGTATATCGAGGACCATGACCAAAGAATCCAGGATCATGGAATTTCCTCCACAATGCAAAGGTAACAACTTTTCCACCTATGGAGGGAGGTCAAGCTTGCTAGGGGGAAAAAGGAAAAGTTAAAGAGGAAGCAAAATGTCCATGACTGGACCTTTCTAGCCAGCAACACTGGACATCTTAAGGGAGAGGAAGTAAAGGTTGATTGAGGGATTAGATGCCATATTCTTATCCCTCTTCACACACTTACTATGTGCTTCCAGGGTTGAACCACAGGCAGAGCAGTGGTGAGGACCTAGAAGCAACCAGATATCCCTAAGAGGGTCTAAGGACACAGAGATTAGTGGCCAGTGGCCAGAGGAATGTCAACCCCTTGGAGAATTCCAGCCTTCAGCTTAGGTCTCTGTCCATTCTGGCCCTAAAAGACGACAAGAAGGAGGCTAAGTGAAGCTGCGGATTCCTCATAAAGTGCGAGGGAGTGACAGTGTGCAGGGAGAAAGGACCTGGAGTTTCCTCTATATACACTGCATTAACATAGCCAAGAGGCTGCAGTGTTTGAAGACATTAAATTTGGAGACAAATGACCAGGATCATGTGCTCCAATGGTGGGAGCCAGAAATCTGAATATAGTCAGGAATAATTTAGAATAGCCACTCTGCCACTCTGTCATGGAGATCAAGGAGGGTTTCTGGGACAATGAATGAGTCCATCTGAGGTCTCTTCCTCCTCCCATGAGATCATATAAGCAGCCCTCCTACCTCTGACTGATATTCATCTGGTATACACTAGTCTGGTCATACTGATTATTTATGGCCAAAATCTCTTTTAATTGATACTGGTCATTAAATATAAGTATTTTGAATATTTTTCCTACACATGAATATGTTCCTACATATCCCATGTTTTCAGAAACCATCTTAGAAGGAAAGTCAGAACTCTCAAAGATAGAGAATTTTATCCATAGTAACTGAGCATTTACCTAAAGAGATTGCTAAAGATTTGAATTGGACTAAACATATTAAGTTGGACTAAAATGAAGTTGTCCTTCCCTTTGCCACTAAGGTGAAGAGCCTGTAAAGGGAGGATCAGATCAATTAGCCAAATATCAACAAACTACATTGTTTCTCTATGAAATTTAGTGAATTTGCAGCTTTGTGACAAATCCTGGTGTACAGGTTGGAAAGGTCTGGGGACTTCATTTCTACTTAAATCTATTAACAATGCTAAGTCCTATAGAGCAGGGATTTTTTTCAGTTTTGTTCACTGCTGTAGTGCCAGTGCTCAGGATAAGTATTTGGCACATGGTAGGTGCTCGATAAGTATCTGTTGAAGAAATTACAACTATAACATGAGGCAAGACTTGCAAAGTGCCTCGTAGGAATCAATTTCAACAAAAGCAGAATGTCCCCTAGTTTTCAGCTCCTACTAGGCTTAGTATGTTCCATTTTAAGCCTCCAAATTTAAGAGGAGCATTCACCAATAAACTAGAGAGGATCCAGAAGAGAACGGGCAGGGCAAGAGAATTCTGAAAACTACCCCAAATAAGGAACAGTTGATACTAGTCAAGGGAAACAATGACTGATGGGATATAAAAATGCAATTTTCAAATATTAGAAATTTATTAAGGATGAGAATGGGATAAATGTATGATTGCATGTTCATAATTAGACCCAATGGAAAAAAAATCTGGATAGGCAATTTTGGCTCAACAAAGAAAGCACTGACTCCAATTTTTTCCAATAATGGAATGGATTGTTTTGTGAACCAGGATGTGAGAATTAAGTATTATCTCGTATTTTCTTTTCCATATTCACTGGTATTTGCTGCCCTTTCCCTTTAACTCATTATATATTCTTGAAAGTAGAATAATATAAAATTTGGAATAGAGGGTTAGATTTAAAACTTTGTTACCATTAAGAATTATGGGGCCTATCCACTGATTGTCCATTATCTCAGTCCCTAAGGTCACAAGGTAGAAAACTCAAATCCTTGACTCTGGAATCTGTACCTCACTCTGACTGATTACCCGATGTCTGTGGCAAAGTGAAATTGTCAATTTTGTAAATGAAGTAAGATTTCATGAAGTTGATGAAGATGTAAGAGAACTACCCATGTCACATACAAAACCATTTTCTTTCTTTCTTTTTTTTTTTTTTTTACAAAACCATTTTCTAATGAGGATTTGACAGAGTTATTTCTGTTAATGATTGAGTAAGAACAGATTTAAAATATGGATTTGAAGTGTTTTGGAGGGAATTGCAGTCACTGAGTTTGAAGGTCATTGGAATATCAAATGATGAAGTGAAGCCCTGGGCAAAACTGATGAAGCTCTTGAAGACTTTTGTAAATATCATCTTTTTTATATTAGTTTGACAAAAGTCACTCCAAAGGCAAAGGATATTGCTTTACTTTATTATGAAATTGGATCAGAAAAATGATCTTACCCAGAAAATAGTAAACAATTTGTTTTGTGGTCCTATAAATTATACATAGCTTCTGTCAACTTAAATATTGTTAAATATTAGGTAAAAAAAATGTTCCCCGCAATTTTTGCTTCTATTTTTTTTTAATTTTTATTTATTTATGATAGTCACACAGAGAGAGAGAGAGGCAGAGACACAGGCAGAGGGAGAAGCAGGCTCCATGCACCGGGAGCCCGACGTGGGATTCGATCCCGGGTCTCCAGGATCACGCCCTGGGCCAAGCAGGCGCCAAACCACTGCGCCACCCAGGGATCCCTGCTTCTATTTTTTTAAGATGAATTTAAAATGAGCTTTCTTCCCATTTTGTGAAACTTGGACTTCATTTTACATAGATTCCTTTTTGGTGGACTTTTCTAGCAAAAATTATCCTCCAATAATGCAAAAATCTTGGATCTCTTTGTTTCCTCTACTGAGAATGTTTTTTTTTCCCCCTCTTAGTTGTGTCAGAAAGGAGCAAAACATATCAATAATTTCAATAAATGCCACATTTCTAGTTGAGTTACCCATGTGGAAGGAACAGTGGTGTCTTATTTGCCACCAAGCACCATGCTAAGGACCTTGTAAATAATCAATGAATAATTCTTTACTCATTTATTATTTATTTATTCATTCATGCTAGGCACCAAGGACATAAGAATAATTCAGTTCTTTACTTACTGGAACCTATAATTCCATAGTTATTCTGAGTTAACAACTTATTAATATGTATACATATACAGAAATACCTTTTTATCATAAATGTAACATATGCTTATTGTAGATGAATTCAGGAATTAAGAAAGAGATCGAGAAAAAATCAAATGTAATCTTACCACTAAGAAATAAAAGCTGATATTTGGAAATAGGTATTTGTAGACTTTTTCCCATGTGTGCATAGTACATGTATTTATACTTTTGTATATTATATAAATATATACAAGTTATTTAAGTATATATAATTATACAAATTATATAATATATGCAAGTACATATTTGTACATTATATAAATATAGATATTTTAAAATATATTTACACCACACATACTAATTTATAAATTATTGATCTAACAGACTTTTTTTTTGAAATTTATTCGTGAGAGACACAGAGAGAGAGGCAGAGACATAGGCAGAGGGAGAAGCAGGCTCCTTGCAGAGAACCTGATGTAGGACTGGATCCCGGGATCCTGGGATCACACCCCGAGCCGAAGGCAGATGCTCAACCACTGAGCCATCCAGGGGTCACTCTTATTATTATTTTTAAAGATTTTATTCATTTACTTGAGAGAGAGCGAGAGCAAGAGCACACAGAGGGAGAGAGAGAGAAGCAGACTCTCCACTGAACAGAGAGCTTGATGCAGAGTTCAGTTCCAGGGCCCTGAGATCATGACCTGAGCCAAAGGCAGACACTTAACTGACTGAGCCACTCATGCGCCCCTCATGGTCATTTTTATTAAGTGTGTAGCTACCTAACCATAATGAATGAAGAGTATTCTGTTACATGAATATGTCATAATTTATCAAATTTTCTACTGTTGGTCATTTAGATTGCTTCCAAGATCTTTTCTGTTATTAACAATGTAATTACCCACACAAACATTTTTACTCATTTATCCATCCTTCTTTTCAGGTCAAGTATTTTATACTATTTTAAGCTTGAAGATTTAACAATTAAGAACATTAACAAAAAATTTAAACATTAAAAAATGAGTAAGCTGAACCTATAGTATTAGAAGTCAAGACAATGGTTGTCATGAGGGTCAGGTTTAGTGTTTCGATTGGAAGGAGACATAAAAAATCTTGCAAGCCCACATGGACTAATCTGTGGTTTAATCTGAGGCCAGTTACATGGGGTGTTCACTTTGTAAAATTCAATGAGTTGTACACTATGATTTGTCACTTTCCACTTTCTTGTATTTAGGTTGCACATCAGTGAAATAAATTTAAAAATCGTGCTATAATATGTGTCCATGTTTGCATCCTTAAGTAAATTCTAAGAATCAAATACTATTTCATTTTATGTGTTTTTTAACTCATATTGCTAATTATTCTGCAAAAAAGTTTGCACCAGTTTTGACTCTTGTCAACACTATATGTGACTTCACTGCATTCAAATTAATACTGACTGTCATCATTTTTCTAATTTTTAATGATTTATAAATTTAAAGTTTTATTATTTCTCTTTTTATTTGGAAAATTTTCAAACTTATGGAAAAGCTGAAAGAATAATATAATGGACAGCCAAAGATCCTTCATTTGGATTTGCCAACTTTCAATTCTTTGCCACATTTGCTTCCTTTCTCTGCCTCTGTTTACCCATACACACATGTACATGCACCCTTACACATGCACATACATGTATGCATATACATACACATTTATTTTTCCATTTCTGAACTATTCAAAAAGAAGTTTTAAACATCATGACAATTCTCCTCTCAGTGTATCACTTAAAAATATGTTTCTACATAATCACAATCCCTGTACCATGTAATACATTAACGGTACTTCCATATTATGAAGTAATACCTAGTCGGTATCATATTTCCACAATTACCCTGATATATAGTCTTTTCTAACTGTTTTTAAATACATTGTTAAATAAAGTTCATTCTCTGATTGCACTTGGCTGTTTTGTCTCTTTTTTCCTAAAACAGTCCTGCCACCATACCCTACCTTGCTTTCTTTCACGACGTTGAAATTCTTCAAGTCTAGGTTACTTGAAAACCTTCTGTTTGTTTTTCAATGTGTACAACTCTGCTGGATTTTGCCGGCTTATGTTACAAAATTATTATAGGCTTTCGGAAGCACATGTATCAGCAACTGTAACAAATTTTCATTTTTGGCTATCTTTAATCAGAGCAGGACGCTGGATCTCCAGTTGGGCACCAGATGTTTTTACTGGGGAGGGGGAGGAAAGCATTAAGAGCTTTTAAATCTTACGCTATTGCTTTGATCACATAAGAAATAATACTGGCAATTGCATTCTCCAAAATGTGTCGCAAGGGTCTTCCTTGATACTGACACGATATATTATTCAATGAATCAGTTAGTATAGAACCAGTTTAAAAGACCTGAAAAAGCTGTGACAACCAAGAAGGATATTTTGAAGTTTGAAATGATCCCTATATAAATAGAACGGATCAGCATAACTTTGGGATAAAATTAGCCGACAGTTTGTGGGCTCTCCAGCATGTGCCTGTTTGCTTGGTGCCGCTCTCCTGATAAATCACAACAAAGCTTCCAGAGGGAGAGGAAGGATGGAAGAAGGCACCGCTACCCCTATTACTAAATCTGCAGCTGCCAAGTTAGTTAAGAAAAATTTCCTTGAGGCTCTAAAGTCAAATGACTTCGGAAAATTGAAGGCCATTTTAATCCAAAGGCAAATAGATGTGGACACAGTGTTTGAAGTTGAAGATGAGAATATGGTTTTGGCATCTTATAAACAAGGTAAAAATTATAGGTGTAATTATAAAATACATAGAAAATGGGTTACTTGTAATGCACAGTGTTGGTCACCCACTCTCAACCTGTAGCTCTTGTGGTTTAAGTATGTATTTTTGAAATATTTCTAATTTGATTTTTTCTCTCTTTTTAGCTAGACGGCATCATGGGTGGCATATATTTCTATTTCTTTCTGTCTTTTCTTTTCTCTTCCTTCTCTTTCCTTGTGCCTGGAATGTGAAATCCTGGACAATCATATTTAATTAGTGAATTTTGCTTTTATTTCTAACTTTTCTTCTGACTAAAATGACATAGAATAAAGAAAACATCTCTAGATTACTGCTTAGATCTCATCCAGAAAGTGTGATTGCCTTGGGGGCAGGCTGCTAACTCTCTGCTCACGCAGCCACTTAAAGGTATATCATCTCTGTACCTATCTGGATGAAAAAGAGGATTTTTGCCCCCATTTGGGGGGTTAATGAATGGGTAAAGCTCTGCCTTGAAGCACCGTGATGGTCCTCATCATGTTAATGAATTTTCGGTTCAGGCAAAAAGCCGAAACCAGAAAAACCAAAAAAAGTCAACTTTTTTGTCCTTGACTATAGTAATAGTTCAAAATTGTTGATATCCTAAATACAAAATGTCTGCCTTTTAAAGAAGTAAGGGCAACAAAAATGAGAACTGGATTTTTTTTTTATCAAGGGATTTTCTGGAACCCACTCTCAGGAAATCAGAAATAAATGACAAGTGCGCAGATTCTGATTTTCCCAAATCAGCTAGTTAACGGGGAACTTGAGTAGCGAGGCCATCTGGTGAGCAGACTACAAACAAACACCATGTTCAACATCATTTCTGTTTAAACAAAATAGATGATAAGGTCTCGTGTACAGCATTTGGAGAGAGAGAGCGCGTGCAATTCTTTTTTCATGTTGAAAGTACTTTCCATTCACATATAAATCATCAGAACCATCAGTTTTCAGAGACTAATGTTAATGGTATACATTTCCACATTCATTTTCTGTACTCTGGTTGTTAGTTCTGAAGGAAGGATAGAACAGTGGAGGCCAGTTACTGTGTTTATGATTTTTCCTGGAGGGTTTTATCATAAATTGGCATTGCTATTTTGACTGGAAGATAATGAAGAGGTTTGTTTTTTATAAAGTAGTTGATGGCGCTCAGTTAAAAAGAGAAAGCATATACTATATATAAGATTACTTTCACTTAGGGATTTGTTCAGTGAAAGACTCTCTGAATGCTAAATACATTTTTAAGGTGTTTTTTAAGCTTATGTTTATGTCAATGAAAATAACTTAGGTCCAAGTCAATGCAATTTATTTGACTCTGAATTGTAAAGACTGCCTTTTTCCATCTCCTAGACATGTCAAACTGTGGATCGCCCGAGGTTTTGAGGTTGTGAGAAAGGAATTTTTAGGGCAGGCTCCGGAGACTAAGGGTGCTGTTTCTCCTGCTTCCAATGGGGTCATCACACCTGAAGCAGAAGAATATGCATTTTTAATCCTTTCTGTCAATATGAGCCAATTCCTATGGTCTTCATAGAGCTAAATATTCATTCACACTAATGGGTGTTTTCATAGTGTTAGGACTGTGGGATGTGACTTTCAACTAGGGAAAGAGAAAATTACACCCTCTGGGAAAGGAAAAGTAGAACTCCATTCTTATACATGCCAGGTGAACGTATGCACAGAAACAATAGGATTTGTGGTCATATTTTCAGGGCTTATATGGGAATTGTGTGTTTGTGTGTGTGCACCTGCTTGTATGTATAGAAAGAAATGCACGTACTCTCTGTTTAATATGAATACAGGTATAAGATTCTATCTCTTCAATCTTCAGCCCAGATGAAAGCCTCATCTTTCTTCAAAGCTTCCTCAATTTTTTTTCACATTTTCACATGTCTTCCAGCCTAATTATCAAACCTTTTAATATTTCACTCAGAAATAGAAGTGATAAATAGAATCCTAGTTGCTAGCCAAGCAACGTTGACCTAAGTGGTTATATCAATTTCTTAAGTCACAAAGGAATTCCCAGGGAACAGTGTAGAGCTGAGCAAGCTACACTGGTTAATTAGTTAGGGTTAGTTCCTTTCTGAATAATTCTGAGGAATTTTCTGGGTGGCTTTAGAGGGTATGTGGCTGAATTAAACTTTGCGAGACTTTATTAAATCATAGGAGACTTTTTGGACATTGAATGCTATTGGATTTCTATGTACTAGTTTTTTATTTTTTTAAAGTGCCTTTGAAAGGCTCCACACAGTAAAGCATACAGATCATGTGTACAGCATGATTAATTTTCATAACATAGACAAACCTATATAACCAGAATCCAGATGTGGAGACAGAAGCATCACCTGTTTACTTTTAAAGTGTGAGGACTTCAGGTTTTAGTTATTTTGTGGCTTATTAAGCAAGACAATGTTTAATACGTATAAAAGATACCATGCTACCTTTAAATTTGCTTGTATGGTTACTAATATAATCTATATTCAACATTTCATTGTCCTGCAGAAGATCAACAGGGATATAATTAATCTCAAGCCATTTTTACTTCTTTTAGGACATATAGTATTTTTCATAGAATTTCAGAAAGTGACCACATTTTTTCCCCTGAATTTGGTATGTCTAAGTTAGTGTACAAGTCAGTTTATCAGTGTATAATTTTTGGAAGACAATTCAGAACTCTGTCGGCAAGGAAATCAGCCTGGGATCTAAACATTGCTTCCTCAAAGCCACAATCCAATTGGCACAATAATGTAAGCAAACGTTAAAATGTGGATTTTGTGAGGAAGGCAGAGCAAAGCATCTAGAAATTCACTTCTGCTTCTTCATCCCACTGAATAGCTTCTCTTACCCCTGTTGCAGAGGGCTGAATTCCAGAACTCAGGTTCAAGCTGTGTGTCCTAACCAGCCCCGGCACCTAATAATGATTCTTTTTTTTTAAAATTTCATTTATTTATTCATGGGAGACACAGAGAGAAAGAGAGAGAGAGAGGCAGAGACACAGGCAGAAGGAGAAGCAGGCTCCATGCAGAGAGCCCGATGCAGGACTCGATCCCAGGTCTCCTGGGCTGAAGGCGGCACTAAACTGCTGAGCCACCCAGGCTGCCCCCTAATAATGATTCTTAAAGCTAGACAGCTCTTACTTTATCTTTTGAAGTTATGTTAAACTTCACTACCAAATCTTCGGATAATATCATGTTTTATTAATTGGAAAAAAAAAAAAAAGCCTGTCTCACACTTTGTAAAGCAAGCATCAAAAACATGCTGGTTGGCATTTGGGATATCTCCTGGAGGACAGCAAGGACATGTGTCTCTAAAGCAAAACAAGCAAGCAAAATTCCATCTACCAGACGACTGCTTTAAAATGGGAAAGACGTGAAGAAAAGTTAAATACACAAACAGCTTTTTAACTGCCACATGCATTAAGTAGTTGCAAAGTCAAGGATTGTTGATAGGAAGTTCACTGTGAGCCAAGTGAACGGCATCTGGGGTGAACGTAGGATCTGTAAGAAACCCCAAAGCTTTCATGTCGGTTCTCACTAGTGATCTCTATACTGGAAATGTGAACATCCATAAAGTTGTTTCCAACGGTTTTTCCAGCTATAGATTTTGATTCTCTTTCGGATGCGGGAGCCTGGGCACATTAAAGATAGAGTCCAAACATCATACTTCTCTCTTGGGTATGAAATTCCCGAGTCAGCAAGGTTAATCAGAGTCCTTTTATTAATCAGTGCAAGGCACTATAAGTACTTCGGTTATGGCCTAGAGCCGCAGGTTCTTTGGTTGGTAGTCATATTTTTAATTAAAGTAACCAATGAATGATTTCACAGGAAAACTTTCTGGCAGGTACTCTACTAAGTAACAAGTGCCGTCCTTATATCTTGAAAGCTCTTATTTCCACTGTCTTAATGAATAATCTCCTTGTCACCTCATTTTCCTCTTTGCCGGAAATCTGCTCTCCTGCTGTTCTATTTCCATCCTGAAGTTCTTTGCCCTTCCTGGTTGCTCAAACTTTTTCCCTTTAAATTTTGCATTTCAGGCTGACATCCCCCCGCCTCTCCTGGGGGAGCTCTGAGATTTATCCTGAAAATATTAGCTATTAAAAGATAGCCAAGTATTGTGCTTTAGTCTATAATCCTTCAGGACTGTGTAAATACATGGACACAGGCAGAGCAAATGTCTGCTAATCCAGCCACGAGCAGTGTGTGTAACCTTTGGCTGTAATAACAGAGGCTTCTCATGTGTGGGGTTCTTTGGACTCAGACAACATTATAGCTGATAACTGTTGCAGAGCCCAGGCTTAGCTGAAAGTTTACCAGAGATGTGTACATCCCTCCAACCACGGAGCAGAATCAATCCCTCTTCCAAAAGATGACCCGAACACTTCTCTTTACCATATTTCCTGAACGGAGGACTTTCTACTCAGCTATCCAGGCAGATCACTTTGGTTTCAGAATTAATTAAACACACAAACACACACACACACACACACACACACACACACACACACACCACAAATACTCTGAGTATCTTTGTTGGGGTAAAACTTCTCAAAACCTTTTAGAACTTTTGCCTACAAGTGCTGCTGGTTTGGAAGTGAAATGCAGGCAGTCAGCAGATCTCCCATGGCTGTTTAAGGATTTGGGGAGACCAGAGTTTGAGTTAATGTGTCAGTACCAGTTACACAGGTGTGAGAGCTTTATGCTACTTAATCTTATTCTTATTGGCAAAGTGAAGACTTTGTCAAGACCCTCTCTAAATCTCCTGCATGCTGATAATCTATGATGTTATGAAGGGGAAATTATATAAACAGATTATGTGTCATGGCCTGGGGGAAGGTGAAAAGTAACTGTAGATACTATAAATGCACATGGGCATGGCCTGTATTGTAGAGTCTCTGGGGATTTTTGCCTAGAAGAGGATCCGTAGTCTCCTCTCTTCCTAGTTAAACTCCTTGCTGAAGCAGAGCTCTCTGAGCCATGCCCCCCT